AGTTGCCAGACTGGTCATGACATCAGAGTGTGTATTGAAGACAGCTGTCCTTCACGTGGCACAGTGCTCCCTCAAGGGCCCAGTGTGCGTCAAAGGTGGGCACAGCCCACTGGAGCACAATGTGCTTAAGCTCCAGCAAGAGGCACACCCGCACCAGGAGGCTGAAAAGCCACAGGGCATCGTCTGAGCTGGTCCCAGCAAGCCGGTTGCAGCAGCTCTTGAGGATGGCCACCTTGGCCTGACCCAGTAGAAAGTTGGCCAGGCAGACAGGGCTCTGTTTGGCCGCTAAGTACAGGTGGGAGCACACATAGGTGGTCGCCAAGAGGCTCCTGCCCAGTGCCCACAGCGGTGGCTCAAGGGCAACAAAGAGCAGCGGCAGGTGGGGACAGTTGAGGAAGGTGGGAAAGAGGTTATCCTCAATGCCCCCCCAGGGCAGAAGGGGCAGGCTGTTGAGGCAGCTGGGTCAAGTGGGATGCAAACATGCCAGTGGCTAGGATTCCATGCAGGAATTGCCACTGCAGTTCACCAGTCTTTTTGGTGGTTAGCAGCTTATAGAGTGTGCAACAAGCTGGGTGGGCCAGTGGGGAATCTGGCAGCCCCAGGCACCATCACCACTGTGTATTGGGGCAGCCCACTAACACTTTGGCATAGCAGACATCAACCACCCAGGCATAAAGTTTTCTACACAACAGAAAAGCAAAGGGGCAACCCATGTCACTGTCGGGAGGCAGTGCAGTAAAAGCATCTCTTGGGGCATCCACAGCATGGGGGACCTGGTGTCTCCAGAGATGGTCATCTAGGGCGGCTGCTGCCTCTGTTGGGAGGGCACCCTGGATGTCATGCAGGAGACGGTTCATGCTGCAGACAGAGCGCATGCCTAGCCAAGTGGTTAGGGCCTTGGGTGAGAGCCAGGCTGACTGAGTGGAGTCAAGGAGATAGCTCAGGTGGAGGACATGAACCTGGATGAAGGTGGCTGTGAGGCTGGCAGAGGCCAGGCTCAGCATGGGGCACCACACGGCTGGGTTGTGCACCAAGGGCTCCCTCAGCAGCTGCAGGAACTACAAGTGCCAGGCCTGGGGCTGGAGGCAGAAGGTGGCCTGCCAGGCTCATACCATGCTGCAGCAGAAGGCCTCAAGCACCTCCCAGTTCAAGAGCATAAGGTCCAGAAGGAAGAGCTCCCGGTTAAAGCCGAGGGCCCCCATCCTCTGCAGGAGCCAGCATGCCAGTTGTTGCCAGGGTAGGCACTCCTCGCCATAGACAAGTCACTGAAGGACTTGCAGGTGGAAGGCAGCCGCCTTGCTCACCAGGTCGACCAGGCTTTGGCCCCCACCTCAGTGACAGGGAGCTAAAGGATGGCTTGTGGGAACCAATGGCATCCATCCCAGAAAAATTCTACCAGGAGGCACTGGAGACTCTCGAGTAGGTCCTGTGGCTGGTCAGGTATGGCGCACTGGTGCTACAGGGTTGCTGCCACTGGGTTGTTAGTGATGAGGACACATTCTCAGTAAGAGAGGCAGAGTAGGTGCCAGTGCCACCATTGCAGGCAGACCTCCACCCCTTCCTCAAGGCTGTCCCAGTTCTGCGCCATGAAGGCCAGTGGCCCCAGGAACATGCCCAGGACCCTGAGGTCCTCGTGGCACCGGGTGAGGCCCCATGGCAAATCCAGGGGGGGTCATGCTGATTCATGCACCAAGCAGCAGGGTATTACTTTTGGCCCAGTTGACACAGGCTGAGGAGGTGCACTCATAGGTTTGCTGGCAGTCAGTCAGGGCCCACACATCTTCCTGGGTGTTGAGGAAGATGGTCACGTCATCAGCTAGAGCTGGAGCAATGCCGACAGCTGGAGTGGAGGGCCAATGGATGGGCCTGTGGCCAATGGCAGGGCCACACACTCAGGTGGTGCCACAGTGTGTGCAGCAGTGGCTCAATGGCCAGAGCGTAGAGTATGCCTGACATGGGGCAGCCCTGATGGATGCCCCTGCATGCGGGGAATGGGGCGCAGAGCACATCTTTCACCTTGAGCAAGTGAGAGGTGTCTTGGTACAAGACCCAGAGGGCCCCAGTGAAGAGAGGCCCAAAGCCAAAGGCCTCCAGGGTCTAGAAGAGGTAGGTGTGGCCCAACCAATTGAAGGCCTTCTCCTGGTCTAGCAAGATGAGGCTGATGTCCAAGCCAAAGAGTTTGCTGGCTGTGAGTAGGTCGCGCAGCAGGAACAGGTTGTCTTGGATAGTCCTGCCCAGCACACAGTAGCTCTGCTCAGGCCCAGTGATGGAGGTCATGACGGTGCAGAGGCAGGTCACCAGAGCTTTGGCCAGAATCTTGTAGTCTGCACACAGCAGGGAGACTGACCACCTGTTCTTAATGCAGCCAAGGTCTCCCTTCTTGGGTAGCAGTGTGAGCACCGTTCAGTGGCAGCTGATTGGCAGGACCTTGTTGGCAAGGAAAACACGTAGGAGGCAGAGGTCAAGGAGAGGCCAGAAGGCCTTGTAGAATTTGGCAGACAGCCCGTTGAGGCCTGGGACTTTGCCAGAGGCAAGGCCAGCCACGGTGGCCATTAGCTCTTCCAGAGGCAGCTCCCACTTGAGCTCACTGGCCTGTAGGGCACAGAGGCACAGTAAACCCTTGTGGAGCTCCCTGAGGGCAGGGTGGCTCACACAGGTTGTGCTAGATGATGGCCTGCTCACATACTGCACCCACGTCTGTGATCACCCAGCCCTCAGGGGTCTTGAGGTGATCCAAGACTTTGCCTGCTGCCACTCCAGGTCAAAGAAGAAGTGGGTCAGGGCATCAGTTTCTGCTAGCTCCTGCAAGCAGCCGCGGATTCTCACCCAGTGGGCTGCATTCTCCACTACGTCTTGTGAGCATTTCCTGTGGAACCAGAGGCTCTTGTGCAGTGCCACATCATTGCCAGTGGCCAGCAGAGCAATCTCAAGCTCTGCCACATCCTCCTCCATCTCTTGGATGTGGTGGCACAGCTCACTGATGGTCAGCTGGGCATACTGCTGGCAAAAGACCCAGATCTGTACATTGCCCACATCCCACCATAGTTTCCAGGAGAAGTAACACATTTCTTGCAGCTTCCCAGCCCCCCCAGAAATTGGTGAATCAGTCCCGGAAGTAAGAGTCTTGGAGCAGACTGACACTGAAGCACCAATAAGGTGCTTGCATACGGGTCTTGCCAGGCAGGCTCAGTTCACAGCAGACCAGGCCATGATCTGACAGGCCCAAAGGGACGATGCAGCTGCCACGCTGGAGTAGCAGATGATGTTTGGTGACATAGAAGCTGTCGAGGAGGGCCATGGCAAGACTGCTGGCTCTCATCCTAACCCAGGTGTACTGGTGCACATTGGTGTGGAGGGCTTGCAAGGTGTCGACAAGGTCCGTGGTCTCCAAGGCAGGCAGCAACTTGCAGCCTGAGGGCAGGTGAGGCTCGGGCCCTGTGCAATCAAGTGAGGCATTGGTGGTACAGTTAATGTCCCCGCCCATGAGGAGCAGGTTATCGCTCTGGCTGGCGTAATGCAGAAGGGCGGCCAATGTCTCTAAAAAGGCGCCTCTCTCCTGGCTATCAGTGGGTGTGTAGCTGTTGATGAGCAGCAGGTGGTAGTGTGCTAAGGCAATGTGAATGGTCAGCAGGCAGCCAGGGGCCACTTCCCATGCTACTGGTGTATCAGACTGCAGCTGTGGCCATAAAAAGGTCGCAACTTCGGCACTGACTCTGGTCCCATCGCTCAGTAACAGGCAGCCTCGTCAGGCAGTGTGCTAGTCTACGTGGTTGAACCCATCGGAGTGCATCTGGAGGAAAGCGATGGCCAGCAGCTTCTGGTGCAGGAGCTCCAGGACAGCCATTTGCTTCACCAGATATCTATACACATTGGTGTTGAAAGGTGCCAATGGTCACAACTGTCACGAGTGTGGATATGGAAGAGGAAGAGCGAGGCAAGGTGTGAGAAGAAGAGCAAGTACCCAAGGACAGATCAAGACAGCAGAGGCAGGTTGGGGGAGACCTATCATGCCCTACTCTACTGCAGGGACCCTCCCAAGCCCCACATGTCCCTCATCCACTGTGCCAGCTACTCTAGGTGGTAGGCCATCTTCTGGGTGCCCGAGTCTTGCTGCATGAGTTTCACTGCAGCTCTGGCAGCTTGGACAAAAAGCTTAGGGTCTGCGCACCACTGGGTGATATGCCCCGCTACATTCTTCTGTCTTCTGGTCTGCTTCAGGAAAGCCAGGAGACCTCCACAGTTGGGGGTGAGCCAGGGTGGGGTCCGCCAGAACAGGCTGGACATCCCCAACAAAGAGTGGCCAGGCTGTACCTCAGGTAAGAGCTTGCCTGAGAGTGCAGCATCCATGCCCTCAACGTTCAGGCACAGCATCCTCTTCTCATCATCTGGGTCAAGGACCGGTTCTAGAAGAGCAATCCCAGCCTTCTTGTGGGGAGAGATGTCATCCTACTCCCAAGGTCGCTTATTACGCTTGGAAAGCTGGACCTCCAACTCATCATCATCCCCATCTGGTCCAGTGGGCTGAGGCATGACTGAGGGGTCAGTAGACTCTTCTGCCACCCCCTAGGTCAGGCCCCCACTAGAGAGGTATTCAATATCACCTTCACTGCCACCTGACTCCAGGAGCTGGGAGACGAGTGAGGGGTCGGTGGACCCGCTGCTGCCTCCAACGCCACCAAGTCATCCCTGACTGCAGCCACGTGCAGCAGGGTTGCTGGCGGGACAGTTGGAGTGGGGTCAGGCTCCCCCACAGAAGTCCTCCCAGCACTAATGAAGGAGGGCCCTGGTGGGGGTGGAGTGTCCTGAGAAGCCTCTTTTTTTTCCTCTCTCTGTTTTTCTTCTGTGGAGAAGCGGCAGGTGACCTCCCCTTCACAGGCTGTGTTGTTAAGTAAGCTTCATTATTAGAATCAGTTCTTCTGTTTCATCCTTAGCATATATGACAACTGCTGCTTGCAACCTTGCATGACACTCATGGGAACATTTTCTCTTTTTGCTTTCAGGTCCCAATCCCTGTGACTCCATCATTAGACCCTCTGACAATGCTGACAGATGATGCTGATATAGCAACTTGGCAGAATGAGGGCCTGCCAGCTGATCGCATGTCCACAGAAAATGCCACAATCCTTACAAACTGTGAACGATGGCCCCTCATGGTTGACCCCCAGCTCCAGGGTATCAAATGGATTAAAACAAAATATGGTGAAGATCTAAGAGTGATCAGAATTGGGCAGAAGGGGTAAATATGAGCCATGATACCAAATAACACACACCATTGTTAGCTCCCTGTCAAATATGATGAACAGCATGGGCAGAATCCTGCTTCACTTTGTCTGCCCATATACTGGTTACCCCTTAGTATAACTGCCATTTTTGGCACTTATACCCAGTTTTCAATCCTATTCCTGAGCTGTATGCAGCCTGGCCAGAAAGGTGCACTGCTCTGTATGTAAGTACTTAAGTATAAGTCCTGAAACAAGCAGTAGGAGGAGGCTGTTTTAACCACTGTACCTTACATTTAGTATTAATTGATGCAGAGAAGTAGAAAAGCTTCTGCCCCCTGGGAACAAAAGATTGGGTGTGAACCTTGGGCCTAGTCTCTTGTAGGGCAGAAGATATCTCACTGAACCATGTATGCTTAGATCTGGAGGGTTCCTCTCCTGGACACACACATCTCACTTTCTTGGCAGCCCAGGGGAGCAGCTTCAAAAAAAAAGCTGGTGAGGGGGCTGAATAATTCCTGATTTATGACCTATGCTCAAGGAATCAGAGAACTGCATGGTCAGACCTTATAGGAGTGAGAAGGGTAGGATGGAACCCCAATCTCCCACTTTGTGGGCAAATGCTTTGACCACTAGGCTATTGGGGTAAAATAACCAAAACTCTCTAAGACTTGCTAGCTTTGGGGAATTTGCCTAGTTACAATTCCAAAGAGAGGAGAAGAGAAATGTTGGCTGTCTGGATACGTATTTTCTGTACATGGGTTATGCCTTAGGCTCAGGTTGTACTAGTGTATGCTTGGCTTTATGCCCCACATGGTTCAGTTCCATAGTGCGTTGGAGAGAAAACAGAACTCGCCTATAAAGTCAGAGTGGAAACAACATTGCCTTTCATTGCCATTGTGCCTTCACAACACATTTTATGGAGGCACAGAGGCCAAGCAAACAAACACATGGGCTCCTTCTCATTCCACAAATAGTGATGGTGACAATTGTGGTATCAATTTGTGCCACTATTTAGTGGCAATCACCTGTTTATTTTAATCTGTGAGACTTGCCCCAACTTTTCCCACTTACCTAGGCACTGCCCAGAAATCTTGAGGACATAATCCCAGTAAGTGGAGAGAGCCAGGCAGGTGGTCCCAGGGTGTGCAAGACTGGGCCCTGCAAGCCTTAGAAAAGCACATTATCCATTGTCCCACCTGGTGATGCTGCGGACAACGGGTGATATATGGTATTGCCCAGTGTCATTTGGCACATCTATTTCTACCTCAGAGAAAGGCTGAAAGCCTAAACAGAGATTTAGAATAGAGCCACATGGGATAGGATATTAAAAGTGCCTACCCCTTCCCACAGTCATTCAATAATGTTTTGAAAGAAAATTCAGTGTTACAGACAAGATGTAGAATAGGGACAAATTATGTATGGAAAGAAGTCTTAATTTTTCTGTTTTGTCTGCTCACTGGCTGTAGAAGCCATTTTTCATATGGGAAGAACTGAACACTGAGCACTGAAACTTACTAGTGTCAGAGAACCAAGATGATTGGCTAGTTGGAATTCTAGTCACAGAACCTGGCCAATCAGGTAAGGGTTTGAAAGTGATGCTAAAAAAAAACAACCTTTGAGATGAGCTCAGTAAATTCTGATCTCAGCTCTTTATCACTGAAATGGGTTGAAAAATCATTTTGGCAAAAAAACTTCCATTGGAAAATAGCAAGTTATTAAAACTGAAACTCTTAATAGAAATTTACCAGTTTTGATGAGACTTAATTTTGGAAAGGTTTTTCTATTCCAGGATAAAATAAAGGAAATTTCATTTTTTTTCCCCCAGACTAGCCTATAACTCAATAGTTAGGGCATTTCTCTGGAATGTGGGAGATTCAGGTTCAAATCACTAATCTTTATGAGACCCTGTGAATGTTTGTTCTGTGTGTGTGTGTGTGTGTGTGTGTGTGTGTGTATCTATCTATCTATCTATCTATCTATGTGTGTGTGTGTGTGTGTGTGTGTGTGTGTGTGTACATACATACATACATACACACACAATATATACTTGTATGTGTATATGTAGAAAGCCCCCATATGAGGGATTCTATAGCCTCACAGTCAGGAAACTCCCATGGGATGTTGGAGGTTCAGATCCTGCCTTTTGCCATGTTTTCACACCTGTAGTTATGTGCTCTACCTTTTCTTAGTGTTCCATGTGGGCTCATGTTTCTTGATACCGTTGTCTGCTGTATGCCATTACTATATCAAAGCTATCTCCACTAGGTATTTGGATATTATGGAACGAGCGCTTGCTGCAGGTGAAGTTGTTTTGATTGAAAATTTGGAGGAATCTGTAGATCCAGTTTTGGGCCCCTTGCTTGGTCAAGAAACAATCAAGAAAGGAAGGTAAGAATCCAGAACATTGAATGAGATGCCTTTCTATATCCATATCTGGCCTTTCTCTTAATTTTCCTAAAGCTTCTTGGGCAAAAAAGTGAAAATAGATCACTAAAAATCTCTGTTGGTCTAGACTGAACTTGGTTCTTGGGTAGTTCTTGGATTTTTGGAGAAAGGGACCTTTTTTTATAAACTTATTCTAGCACAGTGGACTGATCCTAATCTTGAACCTAATGTACATAAGGTGATTTGAAGGTGAAAGACATGCTGATCATGTGGTCAAAGTGCTGAATTAGGGACCCACAGTTTCTGGATTTTTTGTGTGGTCTTTTTGTGTGACTGTGAAAATATCTTGTTCTATTGTTTTTTATTTTCCTTCCATAAAACAATGTTAATATAGCTAGCCAAAAACAAAACAAAACTGGATCTTGTGTTTTGCTTCTAGTCTTATGTATTTTGGGTTTGCCTCACATACATAATACCATTCATATTGGAAGGCTGCTCCAGAACTTTGAGTCTCTGACTTCAGAAATTTGTAGTTCAAATTTATTTATGGCTAGTTTATTTCCATGTCTCCGTGTGCCAACATTGTCCTTCAGTTTAAACTGTTTTTCTGCTTTGTGACAGTCTTACAGCCTTGAACCCCAGACCTTAGCCTCATCAACACAGCCATTGATCTCAATCCACCAGCCTGCTGCTCTTCCCAAAGGGCATTTGCAAAAGTTATGTTTTGTGTGTGATGAGCCCCAGAATTTCTGTACAGCTGTAGTGTAAAAACCTTTCATGGCTGCTTTTAAAATGGTTAAGCATGCAAAAAAGTAACCCTCTTCTGATGAAGTATCAGACAGGGATGTTCTAAGGCAGAGCGCCTTGTTGCAAGGGTTAATTTGGGGCAATTCTGCCCACATCTATACAGCTCTGCAGGCTGAACTGGTGAGTACCAGCCCAGGTAAGCACCAGTCCAGCCCAGCCCCACCCCTAGGGCTGTCACTGAGAGAAGACAGAAAACTTCTCTTTCCTCCATAAGCAGCGTAGAAGGGAGGCAAGGTGAGAGAAGGGAGCTTCCTCTGGTATGTACCTCACCCCCTGCCCAGCTACCCCCTGCTGTGGTCTTGGGGCAGCTGGACCTGGCCCACAAGTTGGGGGCTCTATTCCTCCTCCCCATGCAAGCATCTTGCCTAGAACTGGGGCATCAGTCTAGAACTGGGGCAGTGGTTGAGTGTGGGGGAGCCTTTCCTACTGTGGAGGTATGGCCTGGTACTCCCCAAGACCCCAGCAGCAGTACTGGGGGGGCATGCACAGTACAGGGATTCCATCCCTCTTTTCCCAGCTCCTGCTAATTGCCAGCTGGCAAGAGGGTGGGGCTGGGGACAAGGACAGTCCAGCAGCCTCCTGGGAGGCTGCTGGTGCACGTGCACCACTGGCGAGGGCCAGTGCAGGCAGGCTCCAAGCATCCCCTGCCCAAGAGGCAATCACATGTTAGGTTCAATAAAGCTCTAACTTGTGGCACTTTTTTAAAAGTGCTGTGAATTAGAGTGCCTCCCTGATAAGCTGCCTGAAGTTGTGTACACACCCAAAGACTAAATGAAGTATGCCTAAAGCCTTTCTTAGTGTCCAAGTGTCCACCTATTCCCTGATACCTGAATGGCTTACTCTTGTTATCTGATCCAACACTTCCCTTATACAAGCCCAGGGAGAGGAACAGGAAGCATCTGGGTAGCAGGGCTTTTGCGACTTTAAATTGCACCTCTGGTAACTTGACCTGCTTCCTGACCTCTTGGTTTCCTGACCTGGCTTATCTCTGGACTCTGCTTGCTCTCTCTGACTCTGGTTTATACCCCTATCTAGTAATCTTAATTCCTAATTGGGTCCCAATTGCCATGTTTCAGCAGATTCAAATAATTGAGTCTGCTCCGATGCGCTGGAATTCCAGTGCATTACAGCAGTCTCACTGTTCATGTATAGGCACCCTCTAATATGAGGTACTACATAAAGGAACGTTAGCCCACGCTAATGCTTAATGGCAAAGGTGAACAGTTCTTTGTGATGATTAATGTGCAGTAGTCTAATTCTACTGCGCATTAGTGCATTAGCATGGGTTTTGCCTTGACGCATTACTGTGCAGTAGAATAGGCTACTGTGAATTATGGCATTTTGTGTAGACAGACGTGCCCAGTTTAAAGAAACAATTACAAAGGGCCTGTAATTGTTCTCAGTGAGGAAAAGAACGAGGGTACAGAATGTAGCTGTGTGGTTGCACCCCCCTTTTGCCGTTACTGTTTCTGCCTGAGCTCAGCACTCCATAAGCACGTCCACATGAGTGCGGATGTGCACGCCACTAATGCAGGTGTTTGCCATGCTGTTAATTTGCAACATGGTGGGGTTTTTTTGACACTGGCAGATCCCAGTGTCAAAAAAAAAACCCATGCTAGAAAAAAGCAGGGTGGCACACATGGCAACAGAGTGCACCATCCAAAATAGGAGCCTGGTCAGCCAGAGCCATATTCCAGCTGCCAGCCAGACTCTGTGCACCTGGATTGCCACTGCTGGAGCCTCAGGAGGCACCCAGGATCCCAGGTAAAGCTGCTGGGGCCAGTCCAGTTGCTGCCCCAGCCTCTCTTATCCCACCCAAGGCAACTTGCCATGCACCAGAGCATGTATGTAGGGGCACTCCCCAGGAGCAACTAGCAGGAACTCAAATATATGCTGCTGCTAATTATCCCTGGGGAATGCATGTTTCTTCTCATGCAGATATGCCCTGTGGTGCCTCTCTGTGCAGCTGAAGCTCTGGGCAAGGAACAGGAATAGGAATGGAGGAGTACCCACTGCCGCTGCCGTCCATGGCTGACCCAGGCATCCTGGGGGGAGCTCCAAAGCTGCTCTTGCCCTGCTTGAGCCATGCGCTGTGACTGCTCAGGGTGCCAATCTCAACTGGGAACAGTGGCAGCAGTAGGCATGTCCCCCCTTCCTATGTCTGCTCTCTGCTGCTACCCCCATGGTCCCTAGTAACCAGGGAGCAGGTACAGGAAAAGGAAATCATCCCCTTTCCCATATCTCTGCCATTGTTACCAGCTAATAAGCCCAGAGAAGCCCCAGAGCTGCTCCTGCATTGCTCCAGCTGGACTACAGGAAGCAGCTGCCCAATGTGCCTGGTTCAGCTGGGAACAGCAGGTGGGGGAGGGGTTTATCTTCCCAGTGGCTACTTCTGGGAAGGGCAGGGCAAGGGCAGGTAGGAGAAAAGGTCAGGTGGGGAGAAGGTGCACAAAGGAAGGAAGAACTTGCTCGTCATTGCCAGAACCATGTACAACCACTCTGCAGCTATGCCTATGCCCATCAAGTCCCAGGAGATGAGGGGAGCACCTCTGGGGCTCCTCAATAAAGCAACGAGCAAGTTACATGCCTGCTTACTGCCTGCCCTACTTCCTGCACCCTCACTACCTGTCCTGCTACCATTGCTTTTCCTACTGCAGTGTTGGGGACAAACTTAAGATGATCCCCCACTAATTAAATTCTAAACATGGAAAATTATAATACATTTATAATTTTTCCATGTATAGAAGTAATTTTGTGGGGGCGAGGGGTATCTTAAATTCAAAGTAGTCTTGGATTTGGGTAAATGTGGCAAATTAGTTTTAAAGACAATAATTTAAAAAATTAGATATTTGAGAAACCCCAATGTTCTAGGAAAAAACTGCTTTTGGGAAGGTTCCGAATTTTAGGCAATCTTAAATAAAAGTTCTTTGTTTTGAAACAGCCCAGCATTCTCTGAGAAGGACCCGGGTAGGGTATACTTGTCAGTCGCAAGATGACTATGAGTTGTAAATGTGATGTGGTCTTTAAAAGGACAAATGTGATCCTGGAATGCATCAGGAAGGCTATTTTCAGTAGAGATTGGGAAATATGCATTTCACAGTACTGATAAGACCTGTTGGATAGACTAGAGGCCCTATGCCTCTGACACTATTATGCTAAAGCTTTAATAAACTTTGGCTTGACAAGGCTTCAGCTTCTAACCCATCTCCTACCCCCTTTGCCTCTCCTTAGTTTACCACCTTAATGTACTCATTCCTTAGTTTAACAAGATCTATAGGATGGTAATAGATCCTAATCTATAGGATGGCAATTTGGGCTGTAAAAAGAAATGAGCGGGGGGGTTTCAAAATCCTTACAGATCATACCTGGTAAATGATAAGTTAAATGATATATCTTCCAGGAAAACAGGAAGATTTGAAGGAAGGTTTAACAATGAGGAGACCACTAACCTGTATACATAACAAAGTTGTGAAATAGAGTACACCAGCATGAATATGTGTGATAACTGGCTAGTGATTTTTTTAATGGAATGACTACAGTTGAATTGGTGTTTGCAGTTATTCAATGTATAACATCAATATGAAATATGTAACTTTTCCATCACACTTTGGACATCTAACCCCTGCCCCTCTGCCGGGCAGTCTGATCAATTAACTGCAAACAGGGGAAGATCTAGAATTTAGTAGAAGGGAATGTAGCAAACAGCCCCTCAGAACATGGTGGCAGATGCTGGTACTGCTGCTATGGGGCCAGGTTGGGGTGATGCTCTGTGTTCCAGGCAGAGCAAGGGTGAGTTGGGGGAAGAAAGGGGTGGCAGGAAGGGGTGTGTGGGGTCAGGGGGG